AAGCAAACAAATATATTTTCTATTTTACGTTTCCATGCATATCTACATTCAATAATCATAGCTTTTTTTTTCATTACAGGAAAATTTCTTCATATTGCAAAAACTGAAAGTTGACGAGCCATGCAATTTAAACATTTCTTTCGCCTTTTTATACCATGTATATCACTTGCAGTCTTAAATGTTATATCAAGTGAAACCAGTGTAAACATTTGCTACAATTCCACTCTTGAAGGTAAAGTTAAACATAATATATCAACAGATTGTCAGAATCCTGGAAAGTCACGTCATTTAAATAAACAGACCTCTCTCTACAGCTATAGCTTCTGAGTGAAAGAAATTAACAATGAAAATTGATTCATCACATTTTTGTTAATCATCGAAGTATAAACCTTTTCGTGCATGAAAATGTGGGACAAATCAATTATTTGCACACATCATCCATGCATCTGATGTGTGGACAAAATCAAATGAAGGAAATATCTGAAAATATATCACAATGTCACAACCCTGAATATCTTAAGAAAAGTCTTAGCTATAGAGAGGCAAAACTGTGGTATATAGCCTCTGAAATGAGGCAGGAAATAAGAAACCCTAAAACTCATATCTTTAACACCCGGCATATTAGTGTCTAGTAACACTGATAGCTATTTTTTAACAGTTGAATAACCTACCTACTTAGCATAGGTTGATTACCATAGGTAAGTTACCATAGGTAGGTTACCATACCTACCATACCTACCATACTTACCATACCTACCACACCTACCATATCTACCATACCTACCATACCTACCATACCTACCGTATCTTATAACTACCAAAACTTCAATAATCTGGTTCGAGACCAGCGATGATATTGAACGTTTTAGGCTGACTTTAGTCCCGTTTAAGGCTAATTTCCACTCCAGAAAACGAGCAGCGGATCGGATCGGATCGGATCGGAACGAAAAATAATCCGCGCGTGCGCAGTGTGTTGAAAGTTTTGGTTCATATCGATCCGAAAGCGTCCGAGACCGGATAAAAAAAAGTTCAAATAGTTTTAACTTTTTTTGGTCCGATCCCGGGGATGAAATCTTTCCACCAATCAAAATGCCGTATTCTCTCACATAAATTAAAATAATTTATATACCTGTTTAAAAATACAAAATGGAGGACAATTTAGAACAAGAATTGGTTCAAATCGATGTTCATTTGGAAAATACAAGTGAGCCAATTTCTCCACAACTACCTGTACGGCAATGCGACGATAATTCAAGTCTGAGGGAGAGACTAGTTGAAATTATGCCAGAGTATCCTTGTCTGTGGTGTACTAGCTTGAGATCGTACAAAGATTTAACAAAGAAAAATGCTGCATGGCGAGAACTATGTAGCAAGCTGAATGCGCCTGGTAAGCCTGGTATTTTGTTTCTTGTTTATAATATTGCTTGCTTAAATACAATGATATGTTTGCTGACACAAATATGAAAGCAAAGTACTTCCAAGAGAGTATCCATAGAGTCAAATTTCTGACTGTTTATTTAGCAAGATTGACTGTCTTGGTGCCTAGGAATAATATCAGGAAATATATCAGCTTAGCTGCATGTTTGATGTTTTTCTTGAAGGTTTCGTTTTGTATTTGCAGTTGATACACTCAAAGCTGAATGGGAAAAGTTGAAAGATAACTATAGAAAATGTCTTAATAAAAGAGAGAAGGCTACAAGATCTGGTGCAGGAGCAAAGAAATTACCCTCATGCAACTTCTTTGCAGAGCTTTCTTTCCTGCGCGATACTCTACTGAACAGGAAAAGTGAAAGCAATATACCTCAAATGCTAAGCAACCTACCTCAACCACCAAATGTTGACCTCACTGTTGTAGCAGAAGAGAATAACAACCCACAGCTCAATTTTGTCAATGTTGATGAAGCAGCTTCAACATCAGCACCATCACAACCATTTGCTAGTCCATTTAAAAAGCAAAAGTTTGAAAACCACAAGAATAAGAAAGCAAATGACATACAACTTGGTATTGATGCTTTACTTGTAAAGACACTCAGTAAAGATCTCAATTCCTCTCCTAAACAATCTCCAAAGCAATCACCAAAAGAAAATGATGACCCTGATGTGTTATTCTGCTTAAGTTTAGTAGATACCATCAAAAGACTTAATGGGCGCAAAAAATCAATGGCAAAAATGAAAATACAAAAATTGTTATTTGATATTGAATTTGATGAAGCATAGCTTCATTTTATATCTATTGTTAATTGTTTTTGAAAATCTGTTCATAAAATTGGTTAATATTGCATTTGAAACATGTTATGTCATTTTATTTTACCCACATTATTTTTTTTACAATTGCAATATATATTGTATTAATCATTAAGTGGTATTTCAATAAGATTTTATTATACTTATGTACAAATAAGCATATTAAATATTGTTGTATGATTGAAATAAATTGCATCATTAATATAATAATTATTTGCATCATCAATAATATTTATAACCTTTGACAAAATAATCCTCTAATGACTTTGTTTGCATGTATACAGTGGTTTGAAAAGATTAACAACAGCAAAAGTACTGTATGCTTAATCATGCAAGTAATTCTCTGTCAAAGTCATCCAATGTATTGTTAACTGCCTGAAATTGCCAAGGTACTCTACCAGCAGCAGAAGAGAAATAATGGCAGAAATTTTCCCTGACATCTTTGGCATCATTTGTGTAGTTGTTAGACCCAATCCTTGGTATGTCTGCTAAACCATCCAGAGAAGAAACTTCTTTCCTCCAATCTCCAGGTCTAAATTTCCCACCTCTTGATGAGTCTGCAAATAATGGGGGGAAGTAAAACTTATGGTCAGCCATAAGGTAGTTATGAAGAGCGACAACAGCTTTTGTTGCTAAAACAACATTCTCAACTGTGCTGATCATTGGTCTGCGAAATAACCTGAATCTGGAAGCGCAAATACCAAATGTATTTTCGATAACCCTTCTAGCTCGTGAGATTCGATAATTGAAAATTCTCTTCTCATCATCCAATGCATTACGAGGGTAGGGTTTGATCAGGGATGTTTTCAGTGGAAAGGCTTCATCTCCCACAAAAACGTATGGGAATGTTACATGTGTAAGGTCTAATTCTCTAGCATAGGAAAGGTTGAGTTTGTTTTCATTTATTGCCTGTCCAAGGTGACAACTTGCAAAAACACTTCCATCACTTTCACGTCCACTATCACCAACGTCCACAATTAAAAATTTGTAACGAGCATCGCATACGGCCATTAAAACAATACTATGGGTTCCCTTGTAATTATAAAAAGAAGAACCAGCCCTAGCTGGTGCTTGCATCACAACATGTTTTCCGTCGATCGCACCAACACAGTTTGGAAAATTCCAATCCTTTTCAAAAAGATTTGCTACCTCCTTCCATTCATGGTGGGTTGTAGGAACTTTTAAAAAGCCTTTCTCCATCAAAATTGCCCAAATAGTTGCACAAGTTTCGGAAACAATTCGTCCTGCTGTTGTTGGACTCACACGGTAACTGCTTGCAATTGTAGTTTTGGCATCCCCTGTTACTAAATATCTTAAACTTATGCACAACCGTTCTTCAGGTGAAACTGCGTCCCGTCTCAGCGATGACTTGGCAATGAAGGGAGCAACAAATGACAGTAGCTCTTCAAATTTGCTTGGCAACATACGAAATTGCTTAAAAAAATATTCATGATCGCAGAGCTGTAACTCTTTAATTAACAAGTGGTATTCACTTTTTGTCTGCCTTTGCTGAAAAATTTTTCTTATCCAAAATCTCTTTTTGTATTTTTCTTGTTTTCTTCTCCTTTGCTGGCGACGACGTAACGTACAGGAGGAGAAGAAGTACACGCTTGTTCAAAACTGCCGCCATTTTGAAAACATGCATAATTTATAAACTTTATTAATGGAAATCACTTCATGGATCGGACCAGCTCGGAAAAATATCCGATCCAATCCGATCCGCTGCTCGTTTTCCGGAGTGGAAATTAGCCTTTACACTACACTCGATTTATTGGCACGGCACGGCTAAAATAGGAACCCGTGCCCATTTCATCCGTGCCCGGCCTGAACACTAGTGAAATTGGGCACGGGTACCCATTTTAGCCGTGCCGTGCCGATAAATTGACTGTAGTGTAAACGGGGCTTTTACGTTTCTAGAGACTTTAAGCTTGACGTTTATAGCAAACGCCAAACCGCCAACAAAGTTTGTGTTTTAACTCCACTATCTTTAGGTGTGCGGCAATTTCGCTAGATTACAAACGTTCTACATAAAACTTGTGATGTTCAGCCGAATGAAAGAAAGCAATAGGCTATTTTTGATGTACTTAGAAAAGCAGCAAATTCAGCTTTGCCGTATGTGTTTCACGTTCGCCGTATAAAACTTCATGTTTGAGCGACTGCATACACGGAATACAGCCTCAGCCGTTCTTGCAAGCATTAAATTTCATACGGCGAACGTGGGACATAAAATTATACGGCAAAGCTGAATTTGCTGCATTGTAAATACATCAGAAATGGCCTATTGCTTTCTTAAGGCTAGTTTCCACTCAGAAAAAATCTCCTTTGGATCGGAACGGACAGGAAAATTTCCTTTGTCGGTGAGTTCTCAGGCGGCGTTTATACAAAGAAATCTTTCCTGTCCTGTCCGATCCAGAAGAGAATCATCCTCAGTGGAAACTAGCCTTTACATTATTGCTGAAAATCACGAGTTTTCGTGTAGAACGTTTGTAATTTAGCGATATTGCTGCACACTTTAAGATAGTGAAATTAAAATACAAACTTTGTTAGCGGTTTGGCATTTGCCGTTTGAGATGCCTTAAAACTTTGCAATGCGTAGGTTTTCGTTAAAATAAATCATTTTACGCTTTAGGATTCCAACTGAATGTAACAGTTGTCAAGAAAAAAGCCGTTTCTGAATGGATAGATTGCGTAATGGAGTGTGCAACTGAGATATGTTGCAGATCTATCAACTTCAAGAAGAAATTAACTTCAAAAAATGATTCAAATTGTGAAATGTTACATAACGTGGTTTACAATACATCTGAGAGATTACTGGAGAAGAATTCCTCCTATGATTATGTTTATCTTCTCAACCCACAAAAGGTATGATTTAGTGCCATAGCTGTTATAGCTGTGGCGTTATTTGAGATATATTAACTGCTTTTCATCGGAAAACATTTATAAACATAAACCTGACTGTTATAGCAAGATTCAATTTTGTTGAATGGTTTAGCGTGGTTATTATCGTACATTGCAAGTAAGGAATTAATATTCTTCATTACAGGGTTACAATGAAAGTTGTTTTAACGATGAAAATGAAAGAGGTATGTGTTGATGTTAGTAAGAATCAAAACAATTCAAAAACCCGGGACAACATTTTGCTAACTACATTACCCGACGATTAACAAATTAGGAAAACTGAAACATATCTCCCAACGACCAGAGGTGGATAATAAGCCTTTGGTGAGTTGATGCCTACAAATGCGCTTCATTCGTTTAATTACACTCATTCTGAACAATTTAGTCAAAGACTGCGCTGATATCTATCATAAAGAAATAAAACAAAGTGGAATTTATAAAATTAATCCCGACGGACAGGGAAGTTTCAAAGTGTTTTGTGATATGACAACATCAGGTGGAGGATGGACTGTATTTCAACGTCGTCTTGATGGAAGTGTTGACTTCTACCGAGGATGGCAAGATTACAAACAAGGTTTTGGTAACTTGAGCGGGGAATATTGGCTTGGACTTGATAAAATACACAAGATGACAAATATTTTAGAAAATGAACTTCGAATCGACATGGAAGATACATCTGGAAACACCAGATACGCTCATTATGATTCATTTAATGTCAGCAGCGAAAGTGAGAAATACAAGTTGAATGTTGGGGGTTATCATGGTAAGCACATTAGGCTGTATATACAATTGTTCGCAAATGTTTTCAGAGTCCTATACCTCATTACATTGATACGATTTATAATATTGTGAAACTCATGAATATTTAACGAGGTGTATTAGGTCACATGCACACCGTTTATACCGTAGTTTGCATAGATATGCAAATCAATTACAAACACTAGCACGTGTATCGGAAAAATACAGTGTGTCCCAAAAAATTGTGACGCAATAGAAATTATCGTATTGTTTTAATTTTTATGCCTGAGCGCTAGTAAAAAAACATTGACACCTTAACCGCATAGCGGCTGAAATTTTAGAGAAGTTGCCTAAAATATCCCATGGGTATACGAAGCATATCAAATAAGTTAACCATTAATTAACCTAAAACATAAAGTTTTTTCCCTTTGGGAGTTAATCAAGCCTTCATCAAGCCTTCGCTTTTTTCCAAACAACATAACATTATACTTGGATTTCATCAAGATTACTGTTGAGTATCCGTACAGCATCCTTTACAGTGACGGGATGAACATTCGCGAAATCACAAATTTACATTGTGGTTGTAGCATTTGAGCCGTAATTATCAAAGCGCTGTTAAATACCCTAGAAATAGAAATGACTCTATATTTATATTTATTAATGTTGGAATTGCTTTCCGATCAGCAGGACAAAATATAAACACATTAACATGAATTTGTGGGAGATTGGATCGTCGGGTTGAAGTACTTCCGCAACAATTTTTACAAAAATTTTGACAATTGATACACAATTCATCCAAAATAGGCCTGGGGTTGTCATCGATCCCCTCCCCAGCCTGAATAGATAGATAGATAGTGTATTAAAATTATCTTGCAGCCCAAAGGCTGTATTGCGTAATATATACAAAACTAAGTAAATTAGGTAATTTAAAATTTAAAATTTTTTGCAAAGTATATTATTAACGTACGATTTTGGCATTAATTGCACTCCATTACCATTATTAATTTTAAGAGGCCATTCAATTCATGCATATATTTTTACATTAAGGTACAGCAGGAGACTCGTTATCATATCATAACAATATGGATTTCAGCACCAAGGATTCTGACAATGATATTGCGAAAATCAACGTTAACTGTGCGGTGACATTCAAAGGAGCCTGGTGGTATCGTGGCTGTCATTATTCCAATTTAAATGGTTTGTATCATTATGGCAATCACACATCGTACGCTGATGGAATCAATTGGCTCCATTGGAAAGATCATTATTATTCTCTGAAATCAACGTCGATGAAGATACGACCACGTGAATTTGGAAAGAATAAATAAAGTTGTTGAACGATAAAGAAGGTTTACGTTTACTTTATAAAAAGTGCAATGCACTAACACGGCACTTGTTGGTTTTTATAAATATTTAAAATCGTGTAATAAATGACGTATATTTACATAGAGGAGATTCTTCTCCTACGCTTAGCCTAATCCGAGGTCAAAGTTCAGAGAATAAACTAACTGTATAAAAGTGTATCGTGAGTTGTTCATTAGAATGAGCTAATTTTCATGACAGCTATATCTTCGTTTGTCACATTACATATAAAACATTCACGTTTATTTTCGAAGATCGTCCGTATTGAGACGTACGATTAGACGTGCTTGTAAATTTCCGGTTATAATTAAAATGCGCGTTAATTACAAGACACCCGATTGGTCCTCATCATTATATTGGAGTAATTACGTCTGGCAAACCCTCCACCTTATTTTTAGGCACATCACGGCTGCTTGAGCAGAAATTTTCCCCTTATCCATACCAATTTTGCACGACATTATTAAGTGGTGCTATTCTTTTAACACGACGTCAACAACAATCACAGGTAAGAATTGTAAAAAGAATTTTCCATCGGCTTTTCTGTATTTGATATGTTTGATTTATTCCGACCATGAAAGCATTCACAATTCTTCACAATTTTATTCCATGAAACTTGCTCTGATAAACAACGAACCAGTTCTGTCGGAATGAATCATTGCAATAATTGTATACCAGGTGTACTATCCCGATAAATGGTGGTAAAAAGCAACACATCGTCAACACTGTAATAACGATAAAAAATAAGTTACAAAATAAAAATAAATAACGATAAATTCCTGAGATAAACGCTACAAACCTCATCCTGCCTTACTGTTCGTTCTTGTTGCTTACGCATGCGACCATGGCGGATTTTTCGAAGATTCCATTGCAATTGCGTTGTTTTCCTAAACATGCGTAAATTTGTGTAAAACATTGGACACATCCATCGTAATTATCGCTAATCTGGTTTTAATAAATGAAAGTAATCACCACACAAAGATTCACTTTCACGAACCAACGTTTCGACACTCCGGTCTAGTGTCTTCATCACGGGTGATCTGATGTTGAAACTCAGTTCCTTAATTATATATACTCTCAAAATGACGTCATCTAACATGCAATCAGATGTAAATATTCTTTTGGCAAATAGCTTCCCTCATCCCTATTTAGGACACAAAGACTCGCATTAATATGCAAGGCTTTCTAACAACGCATTTGTCCATAACGATCATTGGTGGTAACGACTTTTGAATCGTTCCACGCAATGGTATGGTTAGTTTTAGTTTTTTAAGTTTCACTGAAATTTGCTAAGAAAGGAGCAATATCTCAAAAGAATTGAGTGTACAGGTTGTTGACGTTCCCGCAAATAACAGAATGCACTCAAAAAATACAAATAAAATGTTACCTCAAGAGAAAAGACATATAGAAAGCTATCTTCCAAAAAAAACAATAACTTGCAAAGAAATTATCCGAAACATACACACTAAAAAAAGGTGTGTTAAATTTACACACCTTTTTTGTCCAAATTTTAACACACCTAAAGGTGGGTTTTGAAACACACCTAAAGGTGTGTTTAAAACACCATAAGGTGTGCAAAAAGCATCTTCAAAGGTGTGTTAACACACAGCAAGGTGTGTTTTTGTATATATTATATAAATATATTTTAATAAATATATATAAATATATTTTATATTTTTTTGTATATATTATATAAATATATTTTAAGTTCCAATACTATTAAGAATTAACATGAAGTCACAGTAATGAATTATATAAATATCTTGAAGCATGCAGTTTAGTTTAAAATAATGTCTTACTCTATAAACAGTTTATTGACTTGATGTCGTCTCGACTTGACACTTGGTGGTGTTTTCTTGTCTTGTTGGTCACCCTTGTTCTTGTTTGTTGGAGTGTATGGTGCCTGCTCAACTGTTGCAATAACATCATCGCCTTAATTCATGATCTTCATAATATACAAAGGTCACCTGAAAATATAAAATAAATGCATAAGAGGATCTGGTATTTAGAATTTTCCAATTTAAGATGTGCACAAGCATCTGTTAATTAATAGAACATGCTAAATGATACCCAATTTATGAGTTAAGATTTATTTTTGGTAAAAGAATTTAGGATGTATTGTCAGGTATAAGCAGGTATAATTACATGAATTATAACCTTCTGTTGAAATTTGAAAAATTGGGGTCTGGGCACATTTCCTATAGTTTCTTTAAAATGGGAAAGTTTTATTTAAATATGTATATATAGCTATCTTTCAGGATAAGTAGTCAAGTCTATAGTATTAAAAATCATAAACCATTTCTGGAACACTCAAGTCAAATCAACTATCTAATATTTGCAACATTTAGAAAGCAAATGCAGTATAGTGAGGACAAAAATTGGTCCTTTGGAATGTTACTAACCCCCAAAAGGAATACAAAATATTAAACATAAATTAAGACACAAAACAATTCATCAAGATTACACCTAGCGAATTATATGCTTTCTTTATACCAAGCATAAACTATGGCATAAACAGCCTTATGTATACACCGATATACGTGTAAATCTCCTTCTAAAAGCACCTAGAACAATTAAATTTTGAAAGATAAAACGTAACACTCACCAAGTCTCTCTTGTGATGTCGAATCTGTTCGCGTCGCCATGCGCTTCGGTGGTCTCTGAATTATTAGAATAAAGCAGACTTTTCACTTTCAAGCTATTCGGGACCTTCGAAGTCTTGAATTTCTTTGCATCGTTTGTAACGGAACCATAAATTTATTCGCTACAAATAGATAGAGACAACCATATTTATTACACTCGTTGGCCATATTGAAATTGATACAAATGTTTGACACAAACGATTCGAAAAGCACTGCAATACAACTTACCCTCTTATAATTTCTTCTTTATACAACATCATAAGCTCTCGTGTGTTCATCTCCAAAAAAATCTTAAAATCGCCTTCACAATAAACATAATTTAAACTTGTAACAGACTCGAATCACAGTTGTCACAGTAGAGAAGGAAATGTAAACACTAAAGTGACTAAACCAGTGTTGCCAACTGTAATTTTGTGAAAATCCCAAGTAAGCGCCTGAAATATCCCGAGATTCCCCCTAAAATCCCGAGATTCTAATTTCAACCCCAGTCCTCAGCCTTGGCGCACCCTAGTACCCAGTCCGCTCAGTGTGCGTTTATAAAGCGGTACTTCTCTGCATAACCGATTGTACAAATAGTCTTTATTGAGTGACTTTGAGTAAGTATTTTAAGTACAAGCGGACGAACCTTGGATTTTTAAAATGTTTATTTGTCAATTTAACGAAAACATCTTTTCCCAAATTCCAAACTTCCCTTTCCCAAAAATCCCTAAAAAAATCCCGAGATTACCATTTGAGAAATAAATCCCAAAAAAATCCCAACTGCTTCAAAAAATCCCGAGATCTCGGGATAAAATCCCGAACTTGGCAACACTGGACTAAACAGTGGTTTGTATTTCGTGCGCGTGGGTTTCACACCTCGCGACATTCTTATTGGTTAAAAGCGTATGACGTATCAGATCACTGACCTGTATATACAAGTCTGTATGGCAGATATTCAAAAACAACCCACGTTAATCATTCTTATTACAAAAGTAAACCACAACGATCTGTAAATTCCCTTAAATCTATGTCTTATATAATGTTTAGAGTTTTTAATACTGATCAAAGCTGAAACGCAGGCCAAAGATAACAGGAATTTAAAGCAAAAAGTTAAATTTAAATGCAATGGAACAGCGTGAAATTTCCTGTTACTTGTGTAATTCCTCGAAAGGCTGACGCTTTTATCGACGCACTAAAATACTATAGGTAATAAATAAGGCCAATCAAGCATATTGTTAATAATTTAAAGGTGTGTTTTATAACACATCAAAAGATGTGTTTCTTGGATGGGTCAAGGTGTGCTGTCAAACACACAAAGGTGTGTTTTCAGTGAAAAGGTGTGTTACTTTACACACCTTAATGAGTAAAAGAAAAGGTGTGCAAAAGGAGGTGTTTTCGCTAACACACAAAGGTGTGTTTTCGAACACACGAATGTGTGTTTGCGTACACACAAAGGTGTGTTTCCTTACACACCAAGGTGTGCTTTCTAAAAGCGCGTAGAAAGGTGTGCAGAAATTACACACCATGGCGTGCAATTGAGCACACCTTGGTGTGCAGTCAAACACACCTTGGTGTGTAATTCTACACACCTGTTTTTTGTGTGTACGAGTTTCAAAATACAAAAATATCGCATTTTTGTACGAACTTTTTATGCAGCAAAAAAAACTGCCCCATGGTAGGACGATTGGCAAAAATGAAGGACTATAAGTGTCTTAAAACTATATCAAAATTACAAGGTAAAAAACAAAACTTACTCGAAAGCCAAAGCAAAAGTTTGAAGCGCACTTGTACTCACAGCAAAAAATTCATATTTACTCACTCTGTAGTGGGAAAATACAGTAGTCAGATAAGGTAGATGCAGAGAAACAGATTGAAACTTTTTTGCATTTCTCCACCTTCGTCTGGTTCCTCGTCGTTTCATTCATAAACACAGTAGCCTGTCTTTATATAAAAACATTCGGCGTTATATGAATGGGGCTTCGTAAACTTCACATAAGATGAGATGAGATGAGATGAATTTGACGTGTTGAATCTCCACTTGATATCATTTACCGCCAAGTAATTGATGAGATCATCGTTGGCCAATGTTGCCAGCCACTTCCTCGTCCCTTGAAAGCTTTTGCGTTATCACTAACGATCAAACTTGCATGGAATCTCCTCTCGCAACGAACTTTCGACGCTTGAACTCACTAGCTGTCATCTCTTTGCACAGGTCTAGATGTACCGCTCTCGTGCTGGCACAAGTGAACATAGCAACACAAGCCTTCCTGGTTTTGTTTTAACTCATTTCAGTGGACGGGTTTTCTTGTTTCTTAAAAGTCTCCAATATCTGGTGCTCGTAAGAAGATCCTCTTCCAAACTCGGTCAATTTTCAAGTTTTCGTCTCCGTCTTTTACCTGGCTTTCTTTCACCGTCGCATTGATATCGTCGTTTATGGCAGCCCCTGCTACTAGTACCACTTCCGCTCAACCTCTTGCTTTACCGTCTCTATGCTAGCTTTACGTCGTTTTTGCATGTACCACAGCTCCTCTCTTTGCTTTTGTCCCATCGCAGCTGCTTCCCTTTCTTTCCACTTTATTGCTTGGAACTTCATCTGCTCATCATTGAGTCGCTGCTGAAAGTATAACTCGTTCTTTAGTTTCTCTTCCACTTCCTGATCATTGATTTTTTCCATCTGCTTTTTCAACTTCGTACGAATGTCCCGAAAAGGTACCAAGAAACCGTCGTCACCTGGTGTTTCTTGCTCCCATCTTTGATATTGTCGAGGTTAGTATTTTTGTTCATTAAGTGTTCCACTTTCATATCTCTTGCCCTTTCTAGTCGGTTTATTGGTCGGTCCAGCCCGATCATCAGAATGTTTTACATCATCGATGACGTCGGTGATGATGAATTCCTTTGTCTCACCGATTTGTAGTTCGGGAACTGCTAATTGCTAATTGAAATTTTTCCTCTGTATCTATGTTCCATTTGTAGGTAATTCATTCAATACATAATCCGCGGCCAAACACGAGAAATTTATTCAAACGTTCGGTATCATGCCGTTGTTTCCACTTCAAGTGTGGGGAATTTGCCGTGAAATTTGCCTCGCTCCCACTCCCCGCACAACTGGATAAAAATTTCTCTCAATCGTTCAAAATATATTTTACATCCCATATTTTGCATTAAAACACCATAAAAAATGAAAAATAAAATGTTAAAATTCTTGTCAAATCTCCGGAAAGCGTGTTCGTTCGTGTTCGATTCTAAAGATCTTCGATATCACTATGGTAACACTGAACTGCATAACGTAACTGGATAATAAAATGCAAATTGTTCGACGACGATTTCCGACACCCCCCGACACGTGACATGGGAAAAATATCCGCACTGTACCCCGGATGTAGTGGCGTATGAGTTCTACGAGTGTTTTAGTTCTCAGTGAAATACCCCATGCATCCACCACTTTGTTTTGTTCATATCACAAATCACGTCATAACGTGTACCTGTAACTGAACAGACAGCGGTTCAATGTTATCTATTTGTTCATACTTCTATATGAATTTTTCCAAAGCAACCTAAACGATCTATTGTAATACAAATTCCGAAACCATGCAACGCCACCGCTTCCATTGAAGATGATCTTAAACCAATAAGTCTTACTTCGCAAGCCTTGTGGGAGGGTTCTCCCTCAATTCTTTGCTTTCAGAAATGAGAGATTAGTGACCAACTTGATGTTAAACAATTAGCTGTGTCCGTGAAGTCGACTACTAACCCAGGCCTTGGTATATCTTCTCCATGCACCTAATCCATGCTGGACTAGACCGGCATCGGGCAATGGCTTACACGCACGACCGCCGATAAGCGTTTAGCTAATATTTTAAAAAATATGAGGTTTCCTTAGGCGAAGTGGCCTACGGATTGTTTTCTCAAAATTTCGAATGAATTCCTGTTTTATTTCGCTAATTTGATGTCTCTCGATGGTGTTTACAATGGCGGAAACTTCAGGCTATAATGTTATGCAAACATCGGTAAAATATTAGGCTGTATATTTTCTGGCATTTCTTCAGGTAATTTCGCGGATAGTTAATTTTCACTTTTACGAAACTATAACTGTAATGTTTTAATAAACTCTTTCCTAAAAAAAAAACTTGTCGTTATACATAGACGATGTAAACAAAGTCAGCACGCGCGGAAGTATTACACGCGCTGTCAAAGTCTGGGCTGCCTATGTCTGTACTTGAAGATTTTGTATTGTTTTGATGTTTTTTCTGAAGCCTCAAATGTTGAAATTTTAACAGTTACCTAAGCTGGTAGGGTCTATAAACGCCTGTAGAAAAATGGTGACATGACCTTCAATATTGAGACTGTATTTTCACGAAATGATAAATATTGGCTATCGACGCTTGCTATTGAGTCATTCAATAATATAAACTTATAGTTATAGCTAATCTAGGCCTAGGATATTATTTTCTTTGTTTAAAATGGTGAGAGGTGCTGCATTTCATGTATTTCTAGTCATAAAATAAAACGAGTAATATTTTTATCAATATATGTGTTATGTCCTGCTTTTGTTAAATGATATATAAATTAACAGACATCTTTGCATTAACATACAGGGTGTATCAAAAAAAAGTTTACAGTTAGAAAAACGTCGTTAAATTAATCAGCGCGCAATGCTTGGTAAAACCTTTGGTGGAAATAAGTTGTTTGACGCCCATTGGTTTATCTGACAACAAAATTGTCTCAAAAAAGAACCATTTGTAGAGTGAGAATTCTGTTAGCGAAAAGCACTTTTGAATGAGCTTGCGCCGAAAAATGACACGTTTAAATTGCAAGCTGATTACATGGGGGGGAAGTATGGAACATGTTGTTTTAACTAACAAAGTTTCAAAGCATTTGGTCAATACCAACGCGAACGCACAGCCGCCAAATCTTAGATTATTTACTCTTTTTCGTTTTTAAATGTCATTTTTAAAGCCTCATTAATTATTCATTGTCATGTCTTTGCACGCTAAGATTTTTGCATAAATTATAACACGGATTTCCCCAAGGGACTTTACGCTTTCAAGCGTTGTTTAAGCTTTTTAACGTATAAAGCGTTTATTTGAACATTGTTTCGAACATTTCATCGTAGATATTATTAACAATACTTATTTACAATGATGTTTATTTACAAAAATTACATTGTTCTGTTTAATCTTCAACGTGACCGCCATTTCGTTCCACACATAAACCAGCCCTAGCAGTCATGCTACTAACAGCACGACGAACCATGGTTCTGGCCTGCCTTAGAATATCCATTTCGTTACGGATTCTCATCTCGAGGTCGTCCAGATTAGCCGGCTGTGTCACATAAACTTTAGACTTGAGTTATCGACATTGCAACAGTTTTTATAAATAAACGCTGTAAAAAGTTCTCCAATTTATGCAAAAATCTTAGCGTACAAAGACATGACAATGCGTAATTAATGAGGCTTTAAAAATGACATTTAAAAACGAAAAAGAGTAAATAATCCAAGATTTGGCGGCTGTGCGTTCGCGTTGGTATTGACCAAATGCTTTGAAACTTTGTTAGTTAAAACAACATGTTCCATATTTCCCCCCCACGTAATCAGATTGCATTTTAAACGTGTCATTTTTCGGCGCAAGCTCATTCAAAAGTGCTTTTCGCTAACAAAATTCTCACTCTACAAATGGTTCTTTTTTGAGACAATTTTGTTGTCAGATAAACCAATGGGCGTCAAACAACTTATTTCCACCAAAGGTTTTACCAAGCATTGCGCGCTGATTAATTTAACGACGTTTTTCTAACTGTAAACTTTTTTTTGATACACCCTGGCAGTTGCAATGCTGAATATAACTCGAAATGTAAACACAAGAGGGTAAAGAACCAAACAATTAATTTTTCATTTATTTGGACGAAGAGATAGAAAAGATTAAGATAACGTCCAAGACCCACTTTTTGTGGATTTGCTTGCAATGTAGCTATATTTGAATGCGAGCTTACACAGTCTAAACGTTTTAACCATATATATGAGACTGATCAGTCATCGCGTTCAGCACTTGTTGCCATAACAACGTAAATATTGTTGATCAGATAATTTGTTACTAACTTCTTAATCAAAGGACATTTTGCTACATTATCGGGGATATAACATTCAGTTTCAATTAACAAAAGATTGCATCAGGAATATTTCTTTTTACGCAATCGAAAAATGCTGTTTGGAGTTGATTTTGAAAATGACTTGTTTTAAATTTTACAATCATTGGACTTAATTGTTTTAGCGCTGATTTAAATTTTCCTTTCTCAACATTAGACGCAGTTATAATATTCAGTTATGCAGACTTTAACGTTTACCCGAAAACGATGTCCGGTAAAAATCGTTATTCGCGCCAGTTAATCTCAAGTCGAAGTTAAAATAAAGCGGCAGGCACTTTAAACATGCAATAACTTATAATTATAACTAATTGGTTTTATTTAATTACTTTTCGCGCTTTTTTAATTAACTCAAACCGAACAAGTTATTATCGAAAACTGAATGCAAGATTACTACGAACTCAGTTTTTTTTCACGTTTGACGTTTCTAAGGTCAAACTATATTTTTTGTTGCTCTGCTATGATAAATGTCATTGAAATTTTCAGAGTGATCTATGAAAAGGTAGATTATGCATTTTAGTATGATAGAGCGTTGATTTATAAACCGTAAGAACTATCCGTTTGAGAACTTTGCTTTCAGAGAGACAACATTCTCCCTAACCGCATATTTATTGCTCGGCACTATACGACTGTTCATAAATTAACTGCCAAATAAGAGACGTTGATGCTTATTATGCAGTTTGCACTTAAATAATTTATTTGCTGTTGAGTGTTTATAATAAGAATAAGAATAATTTATTTGCTAGCATGCACATCAGTATTTTGCTGCTGTTCTAAGCAAACCAACTGTTCAAAGTCCTGAAATAATTTCCAATATATCTTATAACCAGAGTTGTGGTAAGTCATTTTAAACATTAAAATTTATTCCATTCCCACTTACTTTGTTTCGCAAAATGTGACCAAAATTTTGTGTTAATTTGGGAGTTTGAAGGTCATAGATGCCCTTAATGAACGAAGGATTAGCAAGCAGGTTTTCTGCGCAAAAAATACACATGCACACGCGAGTTTTTTTTGTGGGAGAAGGGGTTTGGGGGCACGATCCTACAGAAAGTAATTTCTCTTGGTCAATCTCTCATCCCAAAGACTTGTTCTTAAATGGCCGTTAAGTCGTTGTCCTGGGGTTTATATTCTCCCAATTAGGACTCCCATGATGTCATGTGCACACGCTACATACCATGAATGAGGTAGCTAGCCTCTAAGACATCAACCTGAAACATTCAAAATAAAGTGTTGAAGATAACCCAACTTTGACAAAACTGTCAAAGGCTAAAATGCATCTCATTTAATAGCTGAGTTATACAATTTAAATTTTCACGCAGTTGTAATGATGAAAATAGCTAAAGACAACGGTTCAATGTTATCTATTTGTTAATACTTCTATATGAATTTTTCCAAAGCAACCTGAACGATAAGTTGTAATACCAATTCCGAAACCATGCAACGCCACCAACTTCTATTGAAGATCATTTCAAACCAACAGATCTTACTTCGCCGATATAGCTAAGCTGCGGGAGGGTTTTCTCTCAATTCCAAGCCTGCGAATAATGGAATATATTTATACGCTTATTCCACGGTGGGGGGTGAAACGCGATAAATAGATCTATTCATTGTGTTTCCCCCCACCGTGGAATAAGCGTATAAATAGATTCTGTTATTCGCAGGCTACTTAATTCCTTGCTTTCAGAGATGAGAGATTAGTGAGCAACTTGATTTTAAACAATTAGCTGTGTCAGTGAAATCAACTAGTAACCCAGGCCTTGGTATATCTTCTCCATGCACCTAATCCATGCTGGACTAGACCGGCGTCGATCAATGGCTTACCCGCACGACCGCCGATAAGCGTTTAGCTAATATTTTAAAAAAGATGACGTTTCCTTAGGCGAAGTGACCCGGGGTAGTTTCCTCAAAATTTCGTATGAATTCCTGTTTTATTTCGATAATTTGATGTCTTTCGATGTTCTTTAAAAATGTGGAGACTCCTGTCTAATGTTGTGCAAACATCGGTAATTATTAGGCTGTGGATTTTGTGCTATTTCTTCAGGTAGTTTCGCGGATAATTAATTTTTACTTTTACGAAACTATAACTGTAATGTTTTAATAACTCTTTCCTATAATTATACCTTGTCGTTATACATAGACGATGTAAACAAAGTAAGCACGCGCGCAAGAGTCATACGCGCAGTCAAAGTCTGGGCTGCCTTTGTCTGTCAAATTAGAATAAATGCAAATTATCATGTCACAAAATTCTGGTAATGCGACGCTTCCCATTGAGTCATTCCATAATATAAACTTATAGTTATAGCTAATCGCTAATTTTCTTTGTTTAAAATGGCGAGGGGTGCTGCATTTCATGTATTTTTAGTCATAAAATAAGACGAGTCATATTTTTATCAATATATGTGTTATGACCTGCTTTTGTTAAATAATATATAAATTAACACACATCTTTGCATTAACACATTTTGCCAAAAAGGAACAGTAATATTTATTTAAGCAACTGCCAGTGTCAAAGTTTAAATAAATGTTCACATACAGTACCTAAAACAAGTGAAATGAATGAAATTATTTTTCATTGCCGAATATTGTAAAGAAACATTCAAAATAAAGTGTTGAAGATAACCCAATCTTTGACGAGACTGTCAAAGGCTAAAGTGCATCTCATGAATGGCTGACTTATGCAGTTTAACTTCTCACGCAGTTGTCGTGATGAAAACAACTTACTCAAAATGTAAACACACGAGGGCAAAGAAGCAAACAATTAATATTTTATTTATTTCGTGCGAGGAGATGCAAAAGATTAAGATATCGTCGAAAATCGACATTTTGTGGATTTGCTTGCAATGCATCATTTGAGTGCGAGCTTATACCGTTTAAACGTTTGATCTTATATCTGAGACTATTAATCAGTCATCACCTTCAGCAATTGCTGCCATAAAAACGTAAATATTGTGGACTACATAATTTGTTACTAACTTAATCAAAGGACATTTTACTACATCATCGGGGATATAACATTCAGTTTCAACAAAAGATTGCATCAAAGATTGCATCAAGAATATTTATTTTTACCCAATCGAAAAATGCTGTTTGGAGTTGATTTTGAAAATGACTTGTTTTAAAATTCCCTTTCATAACATTATCTTTTTTGCAAAGCCGCCCTAGACGTAGTTAAAATATTCAATTTTGCAGACTTTAACGTTTACCGGCGTTAACGGAAAACGATGCTGGTTAAAAAAGTTATTCGCGCCAGTTAATCTCAAGTCGAAGTTGAAATAGCTTGGCAAACACTTTTAACATGCAACTACTAAATTAGTTTTATTTAATTACTTTTTGCGCTTTTATTTAACTAAAAACCGAACAAGTTATGATCTATGGAGGGGCATTTAGGACAAAAATGACATTCGCTTGTACATTGCATGCCGTTCGTTCATGCCACATGCTATTCGTTCGTATCAGCTTTTATTCTCGACGTTGTTCGCGTGTAAGTTACACGCCATTTGTTCGTACACTTTCTGCCTTCGGTTTGAGCCGGCGGACTCATGTCATCGGGTCAGCGGCCGTTCCTTCTACTAGCTCGAGCCGGCGGACATAGTTTAATCGGGTCAGCGGTTGCTACGTAAGACTTCGTGTAAGGACCGCTGTCACACTGCTGTTTTACATTAGAGTCTACAGAGCAAAAGGTTGAACAAAAACGAAAGTACAGAAAAAATGAATAATTCATCTTCTAATAATCGTGATCTATTAACAAGAACCAGAAATTTATTAAGAACTGCATTGTGCCAATTGGAAACTGGAAATGTCTCAGAAACGAGTTCCTCGTTCTCGGAACAAGGACCAAGCGCTTCTACTTTTTCGGCATCGCCATCGGGGCAATCTTTGCAGCAAGGAGTCCAAAGACGAAGTGCCTCCTCTGTTTCAGGGCAAGGTCGAAGTGCCTCAGACGATTTCAGGTATGAAAAAGAGTACGAATGTGCATACGATCTTGAATGCTACACTACCATAGACCATAGTATTTAGAAGGTTGACGACTTGGTGTTGTCAACTGATTTGTCATAATGGTTTATACTTTATATTGTCATAGCAACAGATTCGTGTGAAATTTTGAATTTTGATTAAAAAATTCTTTCACCCAAAAATAGTGATTGAAATCTTGTAGTGATTATATATATTCATTTCAATTTTAGAAGGGCATTTCCAGGAATGAGTTCTAGAAACGTCACACGCCCATTACCTTCTGGCAACTTACAGCCACCAGTGAAAAAAACAAAAGGATCAATAAAAGGTTATGTTCCACTGCGATTCCAGCCAGCAGAGACTTGGACCCATGACATATGTATTCTAGGCAGGTGTAATGAGAGTTTAACAACCAGACAGACACCGACTTGACTCCCTTATGGCAGCTGGGCTTGGCAAAATGAAAGTCGTTTTTCCTAACAAGAATGCATCTCATGAAGAACTACAAAAATTCATGGAAGAAAAGTTTCCAAAGATGAAAGGATCGGGAGGGTTTGAAGTTTTGAGAGCTGTTGGAGGTGGTGGAGGACAAAGGGTACTCAGTCTTATCCCACCAAGCAGAGAAGGATATTCTGTATCATACCTCAAAGAAAGGTTGGGCCAGGCCGTAGCCTATTTCCGTCCACTACAAATTGATTTGGATGAAACTGAAGTGAAATATGATGTGAGTTCAGATTTTAGTTTTATTAGTGCTTTTGGACATTTTATTTTTACTAATTATTTTCAACTTACACGATTTTATTATTGCATACTAAGGTAATTATTTCTATTTATTAAAGTTACTCTGGATTTAATTACCGCTCAACATGCTTAACTGTGACAAGGATAGTATTTTCAAATTAGTAAATATATAGGCTTCCCAACCCTTATTGATTCTTGTGTTTCTTACACACCACAAAATTTGACAATTAATGTGCACTTTTCACCTACTGTAAGTATAATCATTGTATGGAAACTGCGATTCAGATTGTCAAGCTTTTATAGTCACTGATATAACATTTGCCTCTTGCATGTAATTAGTAAAATTAATTGGTAATGTTTAAATATTTTTTTAGGATGTTGGTCCAGTTATCAATTGTATCAAATGCAGCACTAGCTTCACATATGGTGAATTTAAAAATCACCTGATGGGCATAAAAATATGGATTTGTAAGTATACACATGTACATACACAACATAATTAATATAATAAATAAAATATATGTTGATTGAAATATAAATATAAGATATTACTGAAAAAGCTAATATTTCTTATTATTATTAACTACAGATCAACTGAAGTATCGGATGACGAGGTTAGGGTTCCACCTGAAGTGGAAGCTATCAATGCAGACAAGGTTCAGTTGCTTACACATTCTATTATTCATGATACAAATTATACAGAATATTCACATATAGTTTTTCCAACAGAAAATGTGTATGTACAGTAATAAGCTAATTTTGCTATTAATTTAAAAAAGCCTTCATGCATGCCACCAATGAACTACTATCCCTTTCTGATTCCCAGAATACAGGGCTATATGTTGGTGTGTACAAATTAAAATAATATTACTAAATGTATTTGTTTATGGTGTGTAAGCTAGGTTCAAATGCATATATATATATATATATATATATATATATATATATATAATATATATTATATATTATATATATTATATATATATAATATGTATGTGTGTGTGTAATCATTAATTATACTGTGTAAATGTTCTGTTTGAAAGGTACCTCAGGAAATACAAGATGCGTATGAGAGCCCGATATGTACTAGTGTCTCAGACAAAAAAGAAGTTAAGGATAAAAGTGGTTGGTATTGTTATAGCTGAAATGCTAAACTGTTTTATTATATTAATGGTACAAATCTAGACAAAGATTTATATATGAATAAAGTAAATGTTATAAATTGAATTTTAAACTGCATAAATGTTTTTTAATAGATTGCATTTCCCACCTGAAAGACATGTTTCCGAACACAAGTATCGAAACATTGCAAAATTCGTATGCAAATAAACAAGGAAATGTGTCTGAGGTGGTTGATGAGCTGATTGGAGGATGGGATGGGCAATTGGAAGGTTTGTACTAGTGGTGTTTCAAATTCTTTGAAACAAAATTGTCAAATGGGTCTATTAAAATTTATTTAATAATTTTAAAATATTTGCTAGATTATTTTCCTGATTTTGAAACAATGATGGAGAATATTGATGCAGATGAACCACTAAATCTTGCTGAACATCTTCAAAAACTAGCACCCACAAAAATAACTCCTCAAAGATTATCTGTTGATCGTGGTAGCCTGTTTAAAGACAGTGTGTCATTTTTCAAAAAGTCAAGTTTCGATTTTGACTCCCCAGTGAAAATAGTATTTGAAAACGAGCCTGCAATCGATGGAGGGGGTCCTAGGAGAGAATATTTTACTCTCTTATTGAATTGCTTGGTTTCTCCTAGCAATTTTGTACGACTGTTTGAAGGAAGTGAAGCCCGATTACTACCAATGCATAATACAGATGCATTAAGGGCCAGTCTTTATAAAGTAGCTGGAAGAATTATTGCAACATCCATTTTGAATGGAGGTCCAGGCTTTCCATTTTTATCCCCTGCAATCTATTCATACCTAATTTCAGGCTTAAGTCAGGATATTGACATTGTGAAGGAGGATATAGCAGACATAGATATTAGAGATATTGTAACACAGGTAGGGATTCATCAACATTAATCACTAAGTTCAATTGTCAACCAATACACATTTATATGCAAATGTTTTATCAAAATTAAAGTATTTCATTTTCTGTTACAGATTGATTCCTTAGATAACTTTGAAAATATTCCTGATCAAATCCTTGATGCACTTGTGGAAACTGGTTTTACTAAAAAAATCACCAAAGAGAATAAACTTGAAGCTATCACAAGCATAATGCTGAACACAGTGATCTTAATGCGTAAAGCTGAGCTTGATCAATTTGGTCAAGGTCTTGGCCCAATACTAAATGAAGCACAGAAGCATCCTGATGTTTTCAAGCCCTTGTTTGTTCATGTTGGTGATGTGGATCTTACCCCAGAAATGTTTAAAAGTCTATTGATGCATACACACTTAGATGACCCAATCAAAGGCTATTTTTACAAGTATATTGATAATTTGGGTACGTTATTTTCTGTACCGTAACTATTGGTTTTGATTTAGCTAAGAACATATTACTGTACATATATATACTAAAGCTTAATTATTAGATGCAAAGGGTTTGCAAAAGTTGTTGGCATTTTCTACTGGTGCAAGTAGTATACCACCAATGGGTTTTCATGAACCTGACAAGATAACTCTCACAACTATTGAAAGTGTTTTGCCAAATTCCAATACATGTCCTATGGATTTAGAACTACCAAAAAAAGTTGCCAATTTTGAAGAGTTTTCCAGACAGATGAACATTGCCTTGGACATGCAAGCAATGGGATTTGGCATCATATAAGACACAAGTTGGATTTAGTATCATAACATTTGTTGCAGTTGGGTTCTATTTTAAAGGCAAAAACATTTTCCAGAAGAGATATCTACATTTCCTAATTAGAACGCCAGGTTTTGCAAGTGATTGTCCTTAATATGTTTATACTTTCCTTAAAATCACCTGCTAATAAAAACTATTCAGGCTCATGGCAACCTGACCTAGAAGATGCAAAAATGCATGCCTGTATGTATGTTTCAATGCCATACACATCAGTATCATTTAGTGGGTCAATCTGTTGTTTATTGCTTCGAAATCTTCATCTTGTAATGGAGACATCACATCTTGTGTTTCAATATTTTCTGACTCAGGTACAGGGCAAGGTGCATCAGGGTCAATACCATACTCATTCCATTCCTGTGATGAACAAACATAGATTTTAATTTTTTAGGTTCTAGGCAAACTTGAAATCATAGTTTGCACTTAATATTATGAGCTAGTAGTCTAAAGCCGTGATCAAATGGCACACAACAGTCATCCTAATTGTTACATTTTGACATATAAAATGATTATTTTGAATGCAGTTCTAAATTGCTAAATTGGGTGCAATTTTAAAAACATAAATAGGAACTATACATGCTTTTCTGTATATTGCAACACTTAGTATATTGTTGACTTCGTACACTGCATAATAACAGCACTATGCTTTTTACGGTGATTTTTGTATGTATACCACATTCCATGTTTTTCATTTAATTCTTTCCATAATCCAGAGCAGTTGTTTAACCCTAGCCCTAATGAAAATAATCGAAGAGAACACACGAATAAAAAGCATTTTGAAGTAGTAAGTACCTGAGATTGGTAATCAGAAAGCTCTCCAGTAATATTTGATGACATATCAAATAGTCCATTGATCCAAAGTCTGTTTGGCGTTTTATTTTGTTCAGTTCTCAATGGATGATTATCCCATCCATTACAAAAATGCTGGAGTTGTCTGTTTATTCTTGGTTGAAAAACAAAGTGCAAGCAAAACATGTGAATTGCATTGTTTAGTTCCAAATATCCTGCTTCTTCCAAGTAATAAAAAATAGAGTAATAGATGTACAGACAACCAACAAATAAGTCACGCCACAGCCTCTCTATTCTTTGGTTGTGAACACTTGATCCTGTGATGTAACTTCCCCTGCCTGGTCCTCGCTGTGGATGGTTAAACATATACCAAGCCACCTGGACATTCTCTCCACCATAGTCTCCCCTCACTCTTGAAGGTAGTCCATGAAGTTCAACAGCTTTTGAAAACAAACCTAACACTGTGGCTGCTTGATTATTACCACTACAGGACAAATACATTATCTTTCGAGAAAACCCATCAATGCAACCATGGATGACAAATTTCCACCTGTAAAAGAGGAAGTACATAGCTAGCTCATTACCAAATTATAATGATTGATTTATTTGATTGAAATTGAATTCAGGTATGAATGTATTTACTTTTGTGCATGCCTTCTCACCTTTTAAGTTTATGATGACCATCCATGTGCCAGAGAGAAAGAGGTCCTCTAACATTGTAAACCCTTCTGTGAGTTACCCTTAGCTGTAATGCTCGAACAAGAACACCTTCAGGATCTGAACGTCTCATTGCTTCCCTTACTCTACTCTCCTGCAACTTCAATCCCCGCGAAAGCAAATGTCCACGCATTGTTTTATATCCAGTGTTAGGGAATTCCACCAATATCCCTTTAATTATGTCATCCAACTCGTTCTCAGTAATACTGGAATAGCTGTTCCTCATGGATAGCCCATATTCCTCCAGTCTCCGGTAAACTGTTTTTTCACTAACACCCAAAATCTTTGCCATTTCACTTGCCTTGAATCCATAATCGAGAAACAGTTCCATTTGTTCACAAGGAATGTGAAAACTAGGCCTTCCTCTGGAATTTGTTTGCAATAAAGTTGGTACATGGTTGTTGCCTGTGTACAAATCGTCGTCAATGGTTGCAAGAATAGTTTGTGCTTCCCTGATACGTGGTAAAAGTAAATGTTCTATGTTTTCCAAATTATTGCCGAATCTCGTCAGTATTGCACAAAGCCAATCGACTTTGTAGCGAACATAGTCAATGTTAATATTACCATTTGTGCCTTCTAGATTACGAATCACATCGATTAGAATTTCTCTAACATTAACTCGAATCAAATGAAATGGTGAGTTTTGCTGGCTTTCACTAGTAAAAGACATTTTAATTTTTAAATAATAACGTTACCGTAAACTCGTAGCAAAATTCAGAGTGAAACGCCGAAAGTCAAACTATTCCACAATTTATAGAACGTCCTTACACGAAGTCTCATGTAGCAACCGCTGACCCGATTAAACTATGTCCGCCGGCTCGAGCTAGTAGAAGGAACGGCCGCTGACCCGATGACATGAGTCCGCCGGCTCAAACCGAAGGCAGAAAGTGTACGAACAAATGGCGTGTAACTTACACGCGAACAACGTCGAGAATAAAACTGATACGAACGAATAGCATGTGGCATGAACGAACGGCATGCAATGTACAAGCGAATGTCATTTTTGTCCCAAATGCCCCTCCATAATGATCGAAAACTGAATGCAAGTTTACTAAGAACTCGATTTTTTTTCACGCGTGTTATGTACACGTTTCTCGGGGGAAACTATGAAGTTTCTAAAGTCAAACCTTTCATTGTTGCTATTCTATGATGAATGTCATTTTTCAGAGTGATCTATGGAAAGGTCGATAATGCATTTTAGTATAATAGAGCGTATCCTCGTTGATTTATAAACCGTAAGAACTATCCGTTTGAGAACTTTACTTCAGAGACAACATTCTCCCTAACCGCATTATATTTAATGCTCGGCGCTATACGACTGTTCATATACTGTCAAATAAGAGATGTTTATATCTAATATGCAGTTTGCACTTAAATTATATTTATTTGCTGTTGAGTGTTTATAATAAGAACAAGTACGATCGTACTATAGTGGACCAGGAACTGCGTAACAGAGTTTAATTTCTGAACTGCATTGTATTTATAACAATGGAGAAGACAATGTATTTCTAAACGTTTCCGTTTACTTATATATAGGCTGAATATTAATGATATGTATATATTATTTGCTGCAAATATATCAAGAATTGCTTGTAACAATTAAGTTACAAGCAAGTTACAACAATTGCTTGTAAGAATTATCATACAAATATTTTCCAGAATTACCGAGTCAGACAAGAGACGATTTGATTAAGCGATGTTTGTAGCGGCCAGCTTGAGCTTGCTGTTGCTTGCTATTGGAAACATTTCAGCAAACCAATGTTCCCCAACGAATTACGACACAATCATAAGAGGTTAGTATTGTCGTGAAACACAAGTTAAATGTTTCATATGGTGAAATCATGCAGTCCCGCATAAAACGCATAATTTTAGTTTACATTTGTCTTTCAAGAATTTTGTTGACATTTTTAGGAGGTCCATCATTGCCTGCGGATGAAATAATATCAAGACACAATGTTACATCTTCAGACGTCATGTTGGGATGTCACACTCGCTGCAAAGACGAAGACAAATGTGTTGGATTCAACTACAGAACAACAAAAAATGTTGAAAATTGTCAACTGACAAACGTTACTAGAAAGAAAGAAGAAACGAAACGGACCGGAGATTGGATATTGATGCAAAATGTTGAAGCGGTAAGATTGCTAAATTAAATTATATTTAAGAAATAGAAAACATTTTCCGTGTTTCTATACAGTTTTAGTATACACCCGACTATTGTCTATTACAAATCCCACATTCTGATTGGCTACTCAACCATTGTCTATTCGTGATGGTGCACGGTTGGGAAAATTTCGCTAGCGCGACCGTATAAAATCGAATTATTTTTCGGTGTAATTGCGGTGTATTGATTATTTTCTCGAAATTAATATATCTAGGTACAGGGTGTATACTAAAACAATTAGACAACTCGCCTTCGTTGTCTATGAGCGAATAGTCAACTCAGGCTTCGCCTTCGTTGACTATTCGCTCATAGACAACTCGGACTCATTGTCTAATTGTTAAATAGAAACACGCGTGGGAGTTTGGGAGAACGAGAAATAATCAGTGGGAAAATGAGCCCATGCATAGGGGGAGCTATTTCGAGTTCTCCCAAACAACCACAAGTGTTTCTATAAAATAATATATAGAAACACAGAAATAAATGTTTTCTATTTCCTTTATTATATAACTCAATAAAAAGGTTTTGTACAAATATTATAATTCGATCTATTACAAATTCTCATTACATCGCTTCCCTTGTCAAGTTCGGCCGAAAAATTCCCGTGCTTCTATATAGTTTTAGTATACACCCGACTCTTGTCTATCACAAATCCTACATTCTGATTGGCTACCCAACCATTGTCTATTCGTGATGGTGCACGCTTGGGAAAATTTCGCTCGCGCGACCGCATAAAATTGAATTATTTTTAAGTGTAATTGCGGGGTATCGATTATTTTCTCGAAATTAATATATCTAGGTGCAGGGTGTATACTAATGCAATTAGACAACTCGCCTTCGTTGTCTATGAGCGATTAGTCAACTCCGGCTTCGCCTTCGTTAACGTTGACTATTCGCTCATAATGACATTCGTCATTCAGACTCGTTGTCTAATTGTTAAATAGTAACACACTTCTTGACCAATCAGCACGCGCGTACAATAAATGTTATATTATATTAAATTATATTATATATTGTGTTATATTAATGTTATATTATAACATTATAATATAATAATATATAATAGGGAATTATTTTGAAAATCCATAAACAAGACAAAGTGTAATGGACCAGAAGCAACATGCGGCAGAGTTTACTAAACCGCCTACGGGCGACGCCTTGAAAATTCACAAACCTATATCTCGTCGCCATTCGACAGCACGTAAAAACTATACAAAAAATATTTATATTAACTAAATACATATGAAAATGTATATTCGTACGCTATACCATATGTTGAAACATAATACTATATAGTTACCTCTGTCCCCTAAGAACTTTATTTAGCACGAGAATTTAATAGACTTGGAGTTGAATCGAGCGGTTGGTATCAAATACTAAGGACGCTAATATCTTTTGATAATTTACAAGCCATTTTATACTTTGGCTCGTGAAGGCGAGACAAAAAACAATTAAGATTAAAGTGAAATATTTAAGGGTGTTACCCACTAGGGCGAGCCTATTTCCCAACAGAATTATATCATTAATACATAAAGCCGGTTTTCCACTAGCGATATTTTCCGCGCGAAGCGACATTTTACTTTTGTTTCAGAGCTCTCAACTGCAACCATCGGGAACAAATTGCTCAAATACAAAGGAATAAAGTCGCTTCGCACGAAAAATATCGCTAGTGGAAAACCGGCTTAATAGTATTATTTCTCGTGCAATTACGGATAAACACGCACTCGTGAGTTTTTAAAGACTGCAAATAGCGCTCGCGCTTTGGACTCGCGCGATTTTGCAGGCTTTAAAAACTCAATCGTGCCTTTTAATCCGTAAACGCACTCGAAATTATACTATTACCTACAGTAATATATTAATTAATCTATAAAGATTAAAATCAATATTTTATTAACTTCAGTCTATTTTTGTAATCTTATTTGTGTAGGCAAAGAAAGAGATTGAAGAAGAAAATCTTACCAGGAAATCAAGTAATTTGCTTTAGAATTATCATACAAATATCATAATTTTAAATTTTGGAACATTCGGAATATTATTCGGAACAAAATTACGAGAATTTTAATAATAACTAAATTAATTTATTAACTGTTATGCAATGAGAAATTTTTTAAAATATCTGTCAATATATGCGCCACATTAATGCAATACGTACCAATGAAGCTCGGGACCTCTCAGTTTAATGAATTTTATTTGGAGTAGGGACTCGAATGTTTCAATGATATTTACGAATGGCCTGTTATTTTGTTGAGCAAAAAATAGTATTTACAAGAAAATGTAGTCTAGGGTATTTTCAACCTAAAAATGGCATAACTACTTAGGCATTGTCAACATGGGATATCTTATTTTAGATTAGGCATATCGCATTGTGCTTAAAAACAAAGAGCTATTTGGGGATAATCCCCCCCCCCCAGCAAAATCAAACTTGGTAATTGTACTAATTTTCTTATATTCTCACAAAAATTTCTTTTTTGGCTTAATCTGATAGCCTATACCCAGAAAAGGGACGAAAGGTTAAAAGCTATTTTATTTCATTCCCATGCACGGGAACAAATTCAAGAGGTTTTTAACCCGTTTAAAATAAATTATTACTGCTTTTATTGGGAACACTAAATTGCAATAATTTCAGGTCTCGATTGCGCTGATATCTATCACAAAGGAATAAAACAAAGTGGAATTTACAAAATTGATCAAGACGGAAAGGAAAGTTTCAAAGCGTTTTGTGATATGACAACATCAGGTGGAGGATGGACTGTATTTCAACGTCGTCTTGATGGAAGTGTTGACTTCTACCGAGGATGGCAAGATTACAAACAAGGTTTTGGTAACTTGAGCGGAGAATATTGGCTTGGTCTTGACCAAATACACAGGATGACAAATATTTCACAAAATGAACTTCGTATCGACATGGAAGATACATCTGGGAACACCAAATACGCTCATTATGATTCATTTAAAGTCAGCGGCGAAAATGAGAAGTACAAGTTGAATGTTGGAGGTTATCATGGTAAGCATTTTACATTAAACTGAGTCATATTTCAATAAAATCATAAGATAGTCCAGCTCTCTATACAGTCAACTTTGCAGTGAACTATTAATACACTATTAAATCCAGCATATTAAATATTGTTTAATTTATAGGAATATTATCAATGAGTGATCCATAAATATAATTGAAACGAGGCAGTTTTTGTAGTAACTCGAGAAATGTAAAATATCTCCATTTTGAGAATTTGCTAAACTTTTAACAAAACAAAAATCTCAGGACATTCGATTACGTGCATTAATTATTGCACTCCTATTCGTTCTATTACCATTATTTGCAGGACCCCACTGAAAAACGCTATATATAGGTGAAGTTGGGTATCCTGGTTAAGTATAGTAATAATTAATTGATTTTTTTGCATTAATTAAGGTACAGCAGGAGACTCGTTATCATATCATAACGGTATGACTTTCAGCACCAAAGATGCTGACAATGATATTGCCAATATTAATTGTGCAGCGAAATTCAAAGGAGCCTGGTGGTATCGTGATTGTCTTCGTTCCAATTTGAATGGTTTGTATCATTATGGCGCACACACATCGAACGCTGATGGAGTCAACTGGCGCAATTGGAAAGGTTTTCATTATTCTCTGAAATCAACATCGATGATGATACGACGACGTGAATTTGGAAAGAAGAAATAAAGATGTTGAACAATAAAAAGACATAAGGTTTACTTTACAAAAAGTGTAGTGCACTAATACGTGTCTTGTTAGTTTTTCAAAATATTTAGAATAGAGATTCTTTTCCTACCATTAGCCTAACCCGCAGTTAATAGAATATACACAGGGTTGGATACTAAATAAAAGCACAATAAAAGTCATTAACTATGTTATTGTCCAGGTTTATGCAAAAAATGTTTCCTTTCTCGTCATGTATCTATATGTATTTATTATTAAATAATAAAGGAAGTTAATGTTATACGGGTCTTCGTATCGTAGTGTCTCGGGTCTTAGGACGCTTGTCCGGTCGGCTACTTGCCCCCTCCGGTGAGTATAAATGAGCCCAGTTTGCCTGATCGAGTTGTTAGTTGCTTGCGTGACCCATCCCTCCCGTTTCCCTAACGACTTCGCGCGATGTTGTGAACTCTACGGGAGAAGCGTCTTATTTATCTCGCTGGGTTTTTTTTTTTTTTGTTAGTTTGTTTTGCAGGATTAAGCACAGTTCTTTTCACACCCGTTTTGGTCGTGGAATTGGTGTTTGGGGTAAAGGTAAATTCATTAATGATCGCCACATTTACAGGTATTTTTTTTTTGTGTGTGTGTGTGTGTACTTTGATGTTCGTATCGTTTATTCCACGGTTTCACTTCAGTGACTCACGTGTGACAGTTGATCACGGGATGGAGGAGGTACCGTTAAAATAGCATGGTTCGTTGAGTTATTATCTGCGCCGAAAACAGCAAACTCAAAAGAAACACCGTTTCACCCCTAGCCCGATCGTTTCGCTCGGATACCGTCTCCATCCCTACCGATCGGCAGCGGGCACAAATATAGTGTAAGTGCTGGCGTGCTATCGTACTGATGTGAGCCTTAGGATCCGTTAGAACGTTATATATTTTAGCGAAACTTACCAATGGCATTCGTCTTGCAAAGCTCATCAACCCGGATTTGAAAAATATGTTAATTATCGTTTAATGATGAAGAAGAGAGGAGATGCATGATTAAATTTGCGTGCCTGATATTTCTACAACTGAGGAGCCTTGTCCCAGAGTTAGTCAGCGAAACTTGTTAAAATCTTGAAAATCTAAACCTAGACACACCTGGTGAGGTGGGTTAAATTTAGCCCATGGGTTAGCACGCTAAACCGTTTTGAACAACGCAATAAATTATAACCCCACGGGATAAAATTTATCTCTAGCTTATGCCATTTTAGCCTGCCTTTGAACAACCAGCCCGGCTGTGATGGTCAAAAGAGGTTTAAAAGAGGTTTTGGTCATAAAACTATTCTCAGCACATAACTGAGTGTGGAAAGGTGTATAAAGTTAGCATCCTGTGCATTTTTGTTAAAATATTTTGTGACTAATTATTTCACCATTGCTTCAGGAGAATGTCATAATTCCGTTACCCTTGTAAGTTATCTAAAGCTTTAGTTACGAGAAGCTTTAGTTAGCTTTCCAAGTCCGCGTTACGCCGTGTTTGAAGAATTATCTCGTGTAGTTTGTGTTGCGGACCCATTTGAAGTTAACTGATGTTGTGTTGCGGACCCAAAGTTAACTGAATGACATTGTGAGGACTTCGGTTTCAATATTAACATCTGTTTCAGTAGTACGGATATAAAAACCGATTTAATTTCGTAGCTAGATCCCAAGAGAAATGAGCAGAATCCGTGATTTTTGTATTCTCTAGCTCACAGTCATATATATAAGTAGGTGATGACTTTTAAACCTTTATTTATTTTACGCTGACCATAAATTGGAAAGGGATGGCTGATCGGGAAAGCAAAAAAGATGCAAATCTAAATATTACAAATAGAATTTAGAGAACCTAAAGGAAAATGTGTCTAAATCACCAACGGATTATTGTGTCGAAACTGCTTCCCGCCACTTCTTGATATTTCCCTTCAAAGGCAACAAAACAAAACCCAGCAAATAAAATTAACAATGCGTTTATCGAGCCCCAAGAAACTTATATACCCCTGTTCCACTATGTTCCAATATAAAAGACTTGATGCCATAAATGTCGACCAGCCTGTAATCTCCCTTCATGTTGTAGAAAAACAACTAATATAAGGAATGTTAATCAACTCATCACTTAATGTGAAAAGCCTTCCGAGGTATGGAAAAGTGAAAATTTCAAAGCTATACCTATAAAAACCAAACTTTGGAAGACATTAACAAAGACCTAAGAACTATATCATTGACACCCCACCGTTAGCAAAATTTCCGAGGAGTATGTGGTCAGAGAACATATAAAGCCCGCTATTCTCAACCGAATTAGACAAGACCTGTACCGTTGTATCCCTGATTCCTCTACCACTCACGCTCTTATAAATCTTGTTCACAGCTGGACTAAAGCCACCGACGACAATTAAGCTAAAGTACGAGTCCTTTTCCCGGATTTCAGGAAAGCTTTGACTTAATAGACCGTAATATCTTAGTATAATTTTTGAGCAATAGACAACAAAGCGTTAATGTAGCCAACAATTGTTTCTCGGAATGGAAATCGGTACCAGCAGATGTTTTGTCCCAAAGGGTCCCTGATTTTTTATAGTTATGATCGCGGACTGCAAGATTAAGTCATCAAAAAAAGTGTCAAATATGTAAACGATACTACTAGTTATAAGATTATGCAAAAGAGCTGTTATAGTAGATGAAGTAGAAGAATGGTCACAAAGTAACAAATTCGAACTAAATGTTAAAAAATGCAAAGAAATAACTATTTCCTTTTCAAAACCACTACCCCTTTTATGGACTTGCATATAAAAAACAAACCCCATTGAATTAGTCACTTCTCTCAAGCTCCTAGGAGTGACATTACAACAAGACTTGAAATGGAATACCCATATCGAAAACACTATTAAGAAAGCGTCCGAGAGATTTACTTTTTATCACATTTGAAGCGTGCAAAAAGTGTCTTCGAATGACCCGATCAGGTTTTATACAGCTTTTTGAAGAAAGGGAACACATATGCAATACTCTCTTTGAGAAAGTGATAAGAAATGAATTATTAAATATCTATTGAGAGTTTTCAATATCGTAGCTAGAGATTTGCCAGGCGGAAAACGGATTCTTATTATAAATATGAGAGCCCAACATATAACATTTAAGAAAGCCATCAAAACAATTTAAAGTTTAAAAGTAAATATATTTGTAACGTTTCGTCTTTAACCTAAGACATCTTCAGACAAGTGATATAAAATTACATGAGATTTTTACCAGAGTATCGGAACACTTCGGAATTTCCCCTATAACTGGAAAACCGTCATCTAGTCCAGTTTTGTCCAGCATCTTCTCCCACATAACCACTGCAGGGCACACTGCCGACGTTGATGATTTTAAAATTCTTTCTTCATGTTCTGACAAACATGAACTCATGATGCATGAAAGCCTCCTCATCTCCAAACTCAAACCCTCACTTAACATTCAGGGCAGTTCAATCCCACTTAATCTTCTGTAACTTGTTTTGATAGTTTTTGTATTGTGTTTATATCCCTTCGTCTGTGCGGTTTTGTCATGTACTATCCTATACCTTCCTATATCTGTCATTAATTTACATATGTAAATAGATTTTATATATTCAAATCTCATGTAATTTTATATCACTTGTCTGAAGATGTCTTAGGTTAAACGCGAAACGTTAAAAATATATTTACTTTTAAACTTTAAATTGTTTTGATGGCTTTCTTAAATGTTATATGTTGGGCTCTCATATTTAAAAAATAAGAACCTATTGAGAGGTTTAGACTTGATCTACGTTCTGTTTACAACGGCAAAACGTCGTTTATTTCGTCCTATGTAGAACGTCTGCATTTCAGGACCCAGTGAGCTCTACCTCGAATTTAGGCTCTATAGAATTGTCCGTAAACGTAAAAACAATGTTTTCAACGTCTTATATCTCTCATTAAATTAGTATAGTTGGTAATATAGAACAACGATTTACATAACATTAATCTAGAGGAGTATTCCAACCACGTCGTCGTCGTGTTGCCCTCCTTGGTCAGAGTGAACTCGAGTGGAACACCAAATCTGCAAACAAACTCGTTGACCAGAGCTTCCTGAAATAACCCATAGTGACTAACAGGTATCGACCCCCTTATCAGAGAGAACGAATGGGCCTGTCACATCGATCAATTGAAATCCTTCCCATAGGGCTACCGACAAGATATCTCCCCAGACGTGTTTTTTTGTCGCAAACTTCGTCCTTTTTTTTCATGCGCAAAGAGCACAACGCGCACAAAACATTTTCACATCTGATTGACTATACGGCGAATAGAATCTTTTTTTTACCTGTTCCAGTGTCTTCGCCACCCCGAAGTGTCACGCCACAGGATAATTATGCAGTTGCGTTAGAATCTCTTCGCGCAGACACTTAGTTGCAATGGTACAATTAGTTGCAATCTCACTTCTTCACCGTCTGTGGGCTCCCGTTTCCTATACAGAACGTCCAACTTCACAATTAGTCTGTCCCACTGCGCCCAACAAATTTTGGTGACTTCACAACGACTTGTCTCCCTGACTGTGCATCTGGTAATGATTTTTATGAGCTTGTTAATAATATAGATCATGATCTTCAAAATGTCCGTAAATGCATGGATGTTACAAAATAAGCTCCAAAGTCATCCAAAAAAAGACAAAAAATATGTTTATCGGATCATCTGTTAATATTACGAATGAAATTGTTCAGACCCCAAATTTTAATGTATTTAACATCGCTTGTGTCCCGATTGAATCCAACGAACTCAAAGTTAGCACTCTCTCCACTCCAAAAATATGTTTTTATCTAAACTTCAATTATGGTTGTTAGCTTTAGAACTTTGTGTAGAGGAAACTACAACGCGTTCCAAACTATTTTCAACAATTCCAAACTACCAAATTCACAAAAAATATTCTTGATTTTGCAGAATTTGACTAATTTTTCTGCACAGTTTAACCCAAAATATTTAATAGGTATAATTTTCCTTTAATTTCAGAAGAAAAAGTGGTTT